TTTGACTCTACTAAAGCATACAAATACCATAATATGTTTGCAGATATTTAAGAAACATGCTAAGTTAACATACTTGTTTATCTGAAAAATAATGCTACAGTCAGTTATTCTCCTTTGAAAATGTGCGTTCCGGGCCGGAATGTCCGTTTCTGTTTTGGTTTGTGAAACCCGCCCACTGCCAGTTTATCGAATTGTATTTCGTCACCCCGGGTTGCCAGTTGGCGGAAAACAGAGCGTATTTCATTTCATTCATCGTCAAGTGCGCTCGTTCCTGTTGGTGTCGTCAATCTGGCAACCTGCGTGTGCATCAAGTCTGAGGAGGAGGGGCCAGGTGAAAAAAAACCCTCTCCAATATTTTGAGTTGTGACTGCAATACCTAGTTCAACCACTCGGTGTCAATCCTACATACAGCACCTTTAATGTAACAAGACCCAGACCTAGTTTTTTCTGCATTAAATATAAATGACTTTCACATCTTGGCTGAATTGTATTCACTGACCAAATAAAACACATAAGGGGAGAGATTTCATTTTGAATTTGACAAAAGTGTCAAAAACAGCAAGCTACAGACACTGATGGGGATGAGGGCTCAAGCTTATCTTTTTTTTGGTGTGTGGGGAATGTCAAAGTGGGTAGATTGAGCGTGGCCTGATCTCTCATCTAGCACATACCACATCCACCTTGACATACTTTAGACAGGGCCTGAAGGACTGCGAGAACCAGTAGTAGTCCAGAGCCAGCAGAAGCTGAAGCTCAGAAAACAGACACTCCACATGCTGAGAGTGTGGGTTTGTGTGTGTGTGTGTGTGTGTGTGAGACAGAGGAAGACAAGAGAGAGACGGACAAGTGTGAAAAAAGAGGGGTGAAGAAAAGAGATTCAAGAAGAGAAAGTTAACAAACAAAAACAAAAGAAACACATTAATCATGCTATGAAAGAAACTATAAAATAAATGACAATGGACAATAAAACAACAGTGTATAAAGAAAAATAAAGAATAGGAGAAAACATTCAGAAACTAACTAGCAAAACATGTACAAAACTAACAAACATGTACACTACAGACCTGCCAACCTTTGGAAATTTTTTTGAGTACCATCAGTGTGAACCAAGCGGCAACCTCCCACTCTCTCTCGTGATGCCAACAAGGAAGTGACTTAAACTGTAATTCATCAACTGGCCGCTAGAGGCTGGCTGCAAAAGGGAGTCAATCCCATGTTAAAATGCCCAACTTTACAGCAGAAAAAAACATGTTTACAGCCTGGTTCAAAAAATGATTTTGGT